AAAGAGAGAAAGAGAGAAAGAGAGAAAGAGAGAAAGAGAGAAAGAGAGAGAGAGAGAGAGAGAGAGGAGAGACAGAGAGGGAAGGGAGGGAGGGAGGAAGGGAGGGAGGAAGGGAGGGAGAAAATTGAGAAGAAACTGACTCTGTTGGTGCATGACTGCTCAGTGAGCCTGATAATGAATTCACAGTTGCTTCTGAAATTCATGTCTGGGGGGGTTTTCTCCAGCGATGTGCAACATGCAGAGAGAGCATGGATCTGGCCCAGGACTGGAATTCAACAGAGGGCAGGTGTATAACGGAAGGAAAGGAGTACAAGGGATTTTGAGAGTGTTGGGAAGAGTGTGGCTTAAGTGACAGACCTAGGCTGATTTGGGCTATTAGTAAAAACTGGTGGGGTTTAGAAATGTGGAGATTAAATGGTCTCTAGTGCCACCTGTTGCCCAACTAAATGAAGAACTACCAATTTTTCATTAATTCTTCAGAGGAAGAACTATACACCTGGAGATTAGAAGACATGCCTGATTTTAGCAATGTCCTTCAAAACAACAGCCTGCCAAGGCCGAGTTGGGGGTAGGGTGGGAGGTGGTCACGGGTGGTTCAACTGCAGTGGCGTCTGCTATGGACTGCAGGGACAGCCAGTCTAAAAGAAGCTGTGGAACATGACACAGCTGGCTTCCTGTACTCTGCGAGCACCTGGGGACCAGTGGTAACAGGCAGGCTGTGACAGGACAAACCAGGTGCTTTTCAGATCTGTATTCTACTACCTATGACTACTGGTATTTCTTCTGCCAGGTGTGAGGATCTCTGTCACCACCTATCCCGTTCTGGTTTTCTTTCATGCATTCTCGTTACCTAGAGGAAGATGTATCCAGTAAATACAAATTTAAAACTCTCTTCAAAAGGTTGTAGCAACACTTGCTTAATGTTTTCAAGGAAGAGCCCTAAGAAAATAGAAAACCACCGTTCTCTCTTGAAGTCTGTTTTTAATAGAAATGTGGTTAAATTTCTATGGTTTGGAAGGTAAGGTGCCCCTTTTGGTCTCTCTTGTGCAGAGCACATTCATTTTAAACCCAGGCCCCAGACCTCCTGGTTCTTCCTCAGGTGGGTACGAAGGTGCCGTGAAACCCATAAGGCATTTGCACGGGCACCTCTGCTCGGCCCAGCTCTTCAAAGTTCTTGGCATCCAAGACGAGGAGGAAGTTGCTTTTATTCTAGAAAAGGAAAGACAACACTGAAAATTCTTGGGTTTTTCCTATCAGAACTATGCCTCTGTCCACTGCGCTGAAACTTCTAGGGGAGCGGGCACGTCTTCCTCCTCGTGCCCACCCCAGCGCCTGGCAGAGTGGCCCACGCACCACTCACTAGTGCTCGCTTCGCTGCATTGCTGAACTGCACTGAAAAGGAAACTACGGCTCAAGGAGTTCACACCTAGACTGCAAAAATCACACTGCTTATATCACCTTCGTAGGATCTCCTTGAGTTTAAGGATCTTTTTAACCTGTTCCTTTTCGGTTTCCTAAGAGACACAGGAATTCTTTCTCCCACATTAGAAAGGCCTGCCTCCGTTCTGTGTTACTTGAGAGCTGCTCACAGGTAGCATTGCAGGGCAGACCGAGACTTGCCCTGGTATGATTACAGGGGTGGTGTGTGTGTGGCATGAGGGCGAACCCCTCCTAAGCCCATGGCGGCCGTGTCGAACTGATTGGAGCACATTTCTCACCAAGCCCTTTAAAAAGCTTAGAATTCTACACCCCAGGAGCCACTATGAATTAATCAAAGCTGGTTCTCAAGGGGAACCTATTTGTCACAGCATTGCCCCAGACGAGAAGTTAGATATTATTGAGACACCAGGTCAGGGCTTACCACATAAGACTGTTTGGCCACTCAGTTGAAACTGGCAGCACAGACGGTGGTGTGAATATTAGACTAGAAGTCAGAAGACTGGGACCTTAAGTTACACATTCCATGTGTGTAAATGGTATCCCACAAAGTTGTTTTGATGACTAAATAAGATCATCTGTATGAAAGTAGTTTGTAAATGCATTCCTATGCAAATATAAATTATTATAGTTCTACAAATGGAAATTTAGACCAATAAAAAGTATGGATTATGATAAAAGAGTACATAAGTGGTAAGGAAAGGAAGAAAAGAGCGAAGGTGCCACATTACAATCAAAATAAACTATTGGCAGCGTCATCAAGTAAAACCCTCAAAAGGCTCAGAGTCACTTTTCATTATGACTGGTGACAGGGAAACACATTTACCTGGTTGGGGGTGATCACCACGGAAAGAATAACCCCCCCATCTTCTTCACTGGTCCCTGGTACTGGAACAAAAACAGGTTCTGCAGGATAAAAGCCATCTTCTCTCCAAACCTGTAAGACCCCAAAAAAGTATTTGATAGAAGGCTAGTTATGAACTGGAAGCTTCCAATAGCTTTTTTTTTTTTTTTTTACCTCCCAGCATAAATTTGGCTGTCAATATAATATTCCAACAGTAAAAAAAAAAAAAAAAAAGTCAGGCATATTGAGTTAAATATAGGGTGGAGAGAGGGAACTTTCACAGCTGCCAGGTTCCATCATCTCAAACACAACTTGTGAAATTATCGTTTCCCACCAACCTGAAATACAGGTATGCCAACAGTCTTAGCCCTATGATCTCTCTCAAAACAAAATCAAGCACAGAATTCTTTTTCTGGGCTGTGGTTCACTAAGATTCCCTAAAGAGAACACACACCTACCTAAGCAACCGCATGCTTCTCGCACTTAATAAAGCTAACTGGCTGAGCTGCTTAAATATTAAAGAATCTCAGAAGCTACCTTAAACAAAACAGACTCATTCCGAGGGCAGACCAGTTCTTTTCAGAGCTTAGAGAAGAAAAGGGATTTTCATTACCTTCAGCGTCTTGTTTACCACGTCAACCTTGACCAGAGAATCCCCTACCAAATGCTGAAAGCCACAGCCGTAGAAGAAACGATACTTTTTGCCGCTGACTTGGCCGTAGTTAATCTGGGGAAATTCAATACCTCCTTCCAAGTTCTCGGGATATAGATTCTCATAAGTGCACCAAATCTGAAAAGTTCCCAAAAGGATTTACAGTGGTTGCTTAATTCTCACTTTCTTCAGGTAGGTCCACGAGGGGGCTAATACTCTGCAGGAGTTTCTGACAGGGCTTGGAAACAGAGGCCCTATGGAATTTTTTATACTGGTCCTCCTTCCATCATGGGTATAAATGCATAAAAGATGATCAGGTCTTGTGACTCAGCTTACAGGAGGTAATACCAGTGCACTTTTTATTTTACTGAAGCTAAGACATCAACAGCTATGCCTTGATATGCTTGTGATGAGCACAGATTATCTAAAAGACAGGGATGGGTGATACCAATCTCAAATTTCTAAACATTTTACAACCATTAGAAAGTTGCATGTATCTGTCTCAAAACACGAAAGGCGTCGGTAAGCACAGTGCTCACTCCCAACCAGAATTCTGCGGTTCTTGCGCAAGCAGCATAACAGGGCCTGCCCCTGCTCAGCTGAACGTGATGACACCTACTGCACACCGCGCACCAGACGTTGTGAGAACGGGCAATGAGTAAAAAACCACTAAAATTCAAAGTCTTGGTCTAATATCTGTTCGTAGCCTACCTTGCCATCAGCCTGCTTTGTAGCACTGGCCGAAGAATAGGACAGGGGGCTGAGGTTCTCTCCCTCGGGGGCATCCAAACTGACATGCAAGGGCAAAACAAACCTTCGAGGGAAAGATGTGGCTGCTGAATTATAGACCTGTGCAGGAGAGAGAAATGAACAGATGAGGAAATTGTCATTCAGAGAATAACTGCATGCCCCAATAATTTCAATCCAGGCAACATTATTGGCAATCCTAAGTAACTGCATAAATGATCGTTTTCATTCGTTCATTTATACAACGAATACCTGTTGAGTACCTACTACAGGTACTGTTTTAGACACTGGGAATACAGCAGTGAACAAAAAACCTCTGGCCTCATGCAGCTTACAGTCTAGTGTAGAAAGCATGATAATAAATAATAAAATATGTGTTATTTAATTAGTGTCAAAAAAACAAATGATTATATAGCCCATGGTCTGATGGTGATAAGTGCCATAAAGAAACATACTGCAGGGTAAGGAACTACCCAGTAATAAGGGCTTCTTCCTTCTTTGGGTTTGGTCAGGATAGACCTCTACAAAGAAAAGGGTTAACTTAGGTAGGCCTGGGTTGCTCAAACCTTGCACATTCTCAAGAAAGACCTGTTTTCATGCTAGCCCGTGTCTGGAAACTGAGCTCTTTCTTGGATCATTCTGTCTGATAAAAGTATTTTGCCTGCCTGAGGCCTTGAGTCACACTGTACTCATTTATCCAGATAGTTTATGCTGATGATGTGATTTATAATGAGCCCCTGCTTTCTCTATGGGGTCTGGAGCTTCAGGAACTGAGGTTACCCATGTAGGGACTGTATGTCATGTGCAGATCCCCACAAAAACCCTGGACAGCCAGATGCATGCTTCCAAGGACTCAGTTTCCTCCACACTCCACCCCCTGCACCTTTTCCTTTCGCCCGTTTTTCTGGAACCTGTGAGTCCTCCTAGTGAATTATCAAGGGAATGGTCCTAGGGATCCCCCAACACAGCCTCTCTGCTGTATTGATGATGTTTGAGTAATAGACCCTTCCAACAATAAGAAAGCTTTAGTGCCGCCAGCGTGGCTCAGGGGCTGAGAGTCAGTCTGTGAACCAGGAGGTCACAGTTCGGTTCCAGTCAGGGCACCTGCAGGCTGCGGGCTCGATCCCCAGTAGGCAGCCGATCAGTGACTCTCTCTCATCATTGATGTTTCTGTCTCTCTCCCCCTCTCCCTTCCTCTCTCTGAGATAAAGAAAAACATACATTTTTAAAAGAATGCTTTAAGTACACTTTTCTCCCTTAAAATCTTGTAAGATGGAGAACAAACTGCCATTCCCCCCTTTTCCTAACCCATGTTATTTCCATCCCATGCAGAAATGTTTCTACTGAGTTTTTAAGCTGCACAAAGAGTTGGCTTTTTAAAATTACTCTTAAGTTTATTTAAATTTTTTTTCTTTCGTAAAACCATAGCTGAACAAAAAGACATCCAATAATGGTAACTTAGGTCATGTGGATCAACTGTCCCATTGAGAAAAGCTGGACAAAATGTTTAAAACAGCTGTTTGAAGGCACTGGTGAGCTAAAAAGGCAGTAAGGAAAAACGGGTGGAGATTTGGGAGGAGATAAGCTAGATATCGGGGGCACTTTTCCCCCTGAGGACATAAGCTGCTTTTAGGAAAAGGCAGCTGAAAGGCTGAGAAAAATCAAGCAATTTTTTTACTAAACTTTTTTATTCTGAGATCACTGCAGATCCACATGCAGTTGTAAGAATACAGAAAAACAACTGATTACAAAATGGGCGAAGGACTGAAAGAAATATCTTTCATCAAAGATACACAAATGGACAATAAGTACATGACAAGATACTCAACATCATTAGTCATTGAGGAAATGCGTATCAAAGCCACAATGAGACAGCGCTTCATGCTCATTAGGATGGCTGTTATAAGAAAATTTTTTAAAGAAAAACAGAAAATAACAGTGTTGGTGAGAACATGAAGAAACTGGAACCCTTGTGCCTTTCTGATGGGAATGTAAAATTGTGCAGCTGCTGTGGAAAACAGTTTCACAGTTCCTCAAAAGTTAAACATAGAATTGTCATATGAGCCAGCAATTCTAGGTATATAGCAAAGAGAATTGAAAGCAGGGGCCCAAATAGATACTTGCATACCAGTGTCCTTAACAGCATTACTCACAGCAGCCAAAGAAATCCAAGTACCCACCAACAGATAGACAATAAAATGCAGAGTGTGTATGTATAACTCCATTATTCCTCCTTTATGAGGAATGAGATTCTCAAACTAAAAAGCTTCTGCACAGCAAAAGAAACCATCCACAAAACGAAAAGGGAGCCCACTGTATGGAAGAACATATTTGCCAATGATACATTGGATAAGCAGTTAATTTCCAAAATATATAAAGAACTCATACACTCAACAAAAGGAAGACAAACAATCCAATTAAAAAATGGGCAAAGGACTTGAATAGACACTTCGCCAAAGAGGACATAGAGATGGCCAAGAGATACATGAGAAAATGCTCAACATCAATAAGCATCAGAGAGATGCAAATTAAAACCACAATGAGGTATCACTTCACACCTGCCAGAATGACTCCATCAACAAACCAATAAACAAGTGCTGGCGAGGGTGTGGAGAAAGGGGAGCCCTGGTGCACTGCTGGTGGGAATGCAGACTGGTGCAGCCACTATGGAAAATAGTATGGAGGTTCCTCAAACAAAAGGAAATGTGTATCAAATGGAGCTGATTCTTATATATCCTAAGAATCCACAAACACCAATCAGAAAGAACATATGCAGCCCTATGTTCATAGCAGCACAGTTTACAATAGCCAAGATCTGGAAGCAGCCAAGTGCCCGTCAGTAGATGAGTGGATAAAAAAGCTGTGGCAGCCCTAGCTGTTTTTGCTCAGTGGTTAGAGCATCAGTCCAGGGACTGAAGGGTCCTGGGTTCGATTCTGGCCAAGGGCACGTACCTCGGTTGTAGGCTGGACCCCCAGCTCTGGCTGGGGCACGTGAGAGACACAACCAATCAATGTGTCTCTCNCAAATTAAAACTAAAATGAGGTATCATCTCATACCTGCCATCAATAAATCAACAAACAACAAGTGCTGGCAAGGATGTAGAGAAAAGGGAACCCTAGTGCACTGCTGGTGGTAAAGCAGACTGCAGACACTGTAGAAAACAATGGAGTTTCCTCAAAAAATTAAAAATGGAACTGCCTTTTGACCCAGTGATCCCACTTCTGAGAATATATCCTAAGAAGCACAAAACACCAATCAGAAAGAATATATGCACACTTATGTTCATAGCAGCATTATTTACAATAGCCAAGATCTAGAAACACCCCAAGTGCCCATCAGTCGATGAGTGGATAAAAAAACTGTGGTACATTTACACAATTGAATACTATACAGCTGTGAAAAAGAAGGAACTCTTACCCTTTTCAACAGCAAGGATGGACCTGGAGAGTATTATGCTAAGTGAAATAAGCCAGTTAGAGGAAGGCAAATATTACATGATCTCACTTATATGTGGAATCTAATGAACAGAATAAACTGATGAACAAAATAGGTCCAGAGGCATGGATGCATGGAACAGACTGACAGATCTCAGAGGGGAGGAGGGTGGGAGGGACAGGAAGAGATTAACCAAAGAACATATATGCATAAACCATGGCCACAGACAATAGCATGAGGAAGGCCTGGGGTGGGGTGGGGATTGGGTGAAGGGGGGCAAAAAATGGAGAAAATGGGAGACATCTATAATACTGTCAACAATAAAATAAAATTTTTCAGAAAAAGAATGAGATTCTGATACATGTTACAACATGGATGACCTTAAAAAGATTACTGAATGAAATAAGCCAGACATGAAAGAACAAATCTTGTATGATTCCACTTATATGAGCCAGCTAGAATAGGCAAATTTATAGAAACAAAAAGTAGAATAGAGGCTACCAAGCACTGGGGAGAGGGGGGAACAGGGAGCTGTTATTTAAGGGGTGCAGTGTTTCTGTTTGCAATGATGAAAAAGTTCTGGAAATGAACAGTGATGATGGTTGCGTAACATTGTTAAAGTACTTAATGCCACTTAATTGCACACCTAAAATAGTTAAAGTAGTAAATATTGTGTTATGTATATTTTACCACATAAAAAAAGAAATAATGCATCCTTCATCCATTTTTACCAATTATAATGTCTATCATAACCTCAGTACACTATCACAACTGGGAGATTTACATTCACATAATTCACTAAGTTTATTCCGATTGCACCAGTTAACATGCATTCATGTATGTGTGTTTAGTTCTATGCAATTCTGTCACAATGTAAATTCATGTGACCACCACCACACTCAAGATACAGAACAGTTCCATCACCACAAGGATCCTTCATGCTAGCTCCCCTTTTATAAGAAGAGAGCCACACCAACTCCACCACCACTTGACCCTAATGAGAAAAGATTTTGATAGTTTTGAGGAGCTAGGGAGACAAAAGTTCAAAGTCAAGATCTACCAATAAGGGGAAGCCCTGAAAAACCTCTAGCTGTTTGGGTCAAGACCCCTTAGGCCTACACCCTAGGAGTAAGAATAAATAAGAAATAGTATGGCTCATGCAGGGACTGTATCCTGCTTCAAATTATCTCAAGCCCTGTAACCAGATTAAGACTATCAGGGCCCTGACTGGGTGGCCCAGTTGGTTGGAGCATCATCCTATACACAAAAGGTTTGGGGTTCAATTCCTGTTCAGGGAACATACCTACATTTCAGGTTCAAACCCCAGTAGGGGCAGGCACGGGAGGCAATGACCAATGTTTCTCTCTCACATCTATGTGTGTCCCTCTCTTCCTTCCCCTCTCTCTATAATAAATTTTTCAAAAAACAAAAAACACATATCCTCAGGTGAGGATTTAAAAAAAAAAAAAGAATATCTGGAATTATCAACAAAACAAAAAGACAACCTACACCTTTTCCTGTGGGAGCCACTGGGTAGAGAAGAGTGTGGCCTCCTCTCCCCGCCATGGTGTGTGCTCGTCCACTGATTTCCATGTACTCCGAAAAGGGAGAAACATCTGGCAAAAATGTCACTTTGTCTGCTGTGTTCAAGGCTCCCATTTGACCAGATATCATGAACTTTGTTCACACCAACTTGTGCAAAAACAATAGACAGCCCTATGCTGCCAGTGAACTGGCAGGTCATAGACCGGTGCTGAGTCTTGGGTGCTGGCAGAGCAGTGGCTCGAATTCCCAGAGTCCAAGGTGGTGGAACTCAACGTTCTGGCCAGGGTGCTTTTGGAAATATGTGTTGTGGGGGCCGCATGTTTGCACCAACCAAAACCTGGCGCCATTGGCACCGCAGAGTGAACACAACACAGGAACGAAATGCCATCTGCTCTGCCCTGGCTGCCTCAGCCTTACCAGCGCTGGTCATGTCTAAAGGTCATCATACTGAGGAAGTTCCTGAACTTCCTTTGGTGGTTGAAAATAAAGTTGAAGGCTACACCAAAACCAAGGAGGCTGTTTTGCTTCTTAAGAAACATAAGGCCTGGAATGATATAAAAAGGTCTATGCCTCACAGCGAATGAGAGCTGGCAAGGGCAAAATGAGAAACCGTCATCGTATCCAGCGCAGGGGACCTTGCATCATCTATAATGAGACCAACAGTATCATCAAAGCCTTCAGAATCACCCCTGGAATTACTCTGCTTAATGTAAGCAAACTAAACATTTTGAAACTTGCTCCTGGTGGGCATGTGGGCATTTCTGCGTTTGCACTGGGAGTGTTTTCCGCAGGTTAGATGAGCTGTATAGCACCTGGCGTAAAGCTGCCTCCCCCAAGGGTAACCACAACCTTCCCATGCACACAATGCTCAGTACAGACCTGAGCAGAATCTTGAAAAGCACAGAGATCCAAACAGCCCTGCGAGCACCACGCAAGAAGATCCATGGCAGGGTCCTGAAGAAGAACCCCCTGAAGAGCCTGAGAGTCATGTTGAAGCTAAGCCAGCATGCAAAGGCCGTGCGCCAGAACACCAATCCTCGCCGGCCGAGAACCACAGGCCCCCGGCGGACGAAGCAGCTGCAGCGCTAGAAGCCAAATCAGACGAGATGGGGCCCCAGGCAAGAAGCCTTGGTGGGGAAGGGAGGAAAGAAGGCTGTTGGCGTTAAGAAGCAGAAGAAGCCTTTGGTGGGAAAGAAGGCTGCAGCTCCCAAGAAGCCAGCAGCTGAGAAGAATCTGCAGAAAAGAACCCGCCACAGAAGCAAAGAAGCCTGTGGCATAAACTTAAACTCGTTTATTCCATAAGGGTCAAATCACTCTGGACAGCGAATTTTGAATTAAAAAATGATGAAAGGCAGTGGGGGGGGGGGAAGACAACCTACTAAACAGGAGAAGGTACTCACCAATAATACATCTGATAAGGGGTTAATATTCAAAATTGATAAAGAACTCAGACAACTCAACACCAGAAAAACAACCCAATTAAAAAGTGGGCAGAAGACCTGAATAGATCCTTCCAAACAGGACACACAGGTGGCCAACAGACATGAAAAGTTGCTCAACACCACTAATCATCAGAGAAATGCAAATCAAAACCACTGTGAGATATCACCGTACACCTGTGAGAGTGACTGCCATCAATAAGTCAAGGAGCAAGTGTTGGTGAGGGTGCAGAGAAAGGGGAGCCCTCGGGCAATGCTGGTGGGAATGCAGTTTGGTACAACCTCTATGGAAGCAGTGTGAAGGCACCTCAAAAAATTAAAAATGGAACTTCCTTATGACCCAGAGGTTCCACTTCTGGGTATATATGTGAAGAAACCCAAAACATTAATTCAAAGAATATATGCACCCCTGCACTCATTGCAGTATTATTTACAATAGCCAAGATACGGAAGCAGCCCAAGTGCCCATCAGTAGATGAGTGGGTAAAAAGCTGTGGGACATAAATATACAATGAAATAATACTTGGCCATAAAAAAGAATGAAATCTTGCCATTTGTGACAGATGGACCTAGAGGGTATTAGCTAAGTGAAATAAGCCAGTCAGAGAAAGACAAATACCAGATATCACTTATATGTGGAATCTAATGAACAAAAACAGAAACAGACTTACAGTTACAGAAAACAAACTTGTGGAGGCCAGAGGGAAGGGGTGTTGGGGGATGGGGTAAACAAAGGTGATGGGATTAAGAAGTACTAATAGGTAGTTACCAAATAAACATGGGATGTAAGGTGCAGCACAGGGACTAGTCAGCAACATTGTAATAACTGCCTATGGTTCCAGGTGGGCACCTGCATTATCAGAGGGTACACTTTGTAACCTATATGGGTGCCTATCTGCTATGCTATACTCCAGAAACTAATACACCAAAGTGTTGAATGCAAACTATAATCCTAAAATAAAATTTTTTAAAAAAGAATATCTGGAATTGATAATGCACCCTAGCCATCTACCAGAAGCAAGTGAAAATGTTATCTAAGGGAAGAAAACATCATCCTGGGTCTCAAATATTCCTACAATTTTTAAACACAATGTTCTGTATGTGATAAAAATTAACAGGCAAATAAGATGGCAAGGGGGTGTGATTAAAAAACAGTAATACTAAGATAAACAACAGATGATAGAAACAAAGCCACAGGGGATCCAGATAATAGAACCATCAGACTTTAACTATTCTGAATATGTTGAAGAAAATTGTTTTACATCGAGAATTGTAGCAGAGAACTAGAAATTATTAAAAAAACCAAAAACACAAATCAAAATTCTAGAAACTGAAAATGCAACGAGTTGAAGAAATTAGTGGCTAAAAACAATTTATATTACAAACCCCAGGGAAAATTTTACCTTGGACTCAAGATCAGAAAAAAGTGAAATCCTTCAGCTAGATGGACTGATACACTTCATCAGAGAATTAAGGTTATGGTCCATTTTGCCATTCCTTCCAGTAAATTTAAATATGTTAGTGCTCAAGTGTAATAAGCAACTAATCACAGTGCTTCAAAACACACCTCTTGGCTTCCTTTAACGTGCTTTCTATTTGATGTTAAGTAAGTACTTCAAATTATTTTTACGTGTTAAATAAGCGACAAAGCTGTGTCTTTAAAATCATTCTCCCTCCTTACTTGCTGAAGAGACAAGAGAAATAACTAATTCCAAAGCCAAAACCAGAACTTGGCAAGTTCAAAATTATTTTGACGACACCTGACAACTCAAAGGTGCTTACCTGATCAAGCTCTTTCCCAGCTTTCCTAAGATTCTGTAGTTGGTAAATTTCTAGGGATCTTCCATCATCTTGACAGCACAGATCAATTACAACACAACCCTGGTCCTCAAAAGCATTGATTTGATGAAAAGTAACAAAAGGTTTACTGCAGTATTTCCCTGGAAGAAGCTGCAGGGAAAATACAAACATGAAAAAGAGATATTTTCTCTTATTTTCATTTTTTCCATTAGGGAACAGATGCACCAAGCTCAAATTAAGAAGATTCCCACCCCATCCCCCCCCCCCC